AAAAATAAACCCTTTCGGACGGAGCCCCCCGGATAGGCCACTTTAGGGAGTACCTCCTCCCCGGAATCCTTATGTTTTGATTTTTTGTTTGGTTGATTCAGTCTTTTTTTATTGACGTCATGACATTGATTGATCTGTCCTCCTTACTTCCTACTATCTTCCCGCGCCTTTATCTTACGAACGTGTGTCTCCAATAGGTTTCGGGGTCCGGGATTAGCCTTATTTGAAGTTCAAAGTAAAATGGGGTAGGCGTTTTTGAGCGACGGACGTCAGCCGGAAGTGAGGCCGTCCAAAAATAAAAAAAGGCCACTTCCGGTTGACGTGCGTTGCTTAAAAACGTCGTTGCTTAAGTAAGCTCCCAATTGAAAGTACGCACGGGACTCGGGATGACGGGATTGCGCCGAAATTTGGGTCGGGATGACGGGATTGAAGAACCGTTTTGGGGACCCTCTACGAATATAGACTGTGAGCAGTCCCTCTTCAGTCAGTCTAAGTTCGTCAGGACTGGAGAGAGCGAAATGGTCGAGAGGGAAACTGGAGAGAGACTACTCGCAGTCTTCTACGACTAGGACGCAGCTTTTCTTTTTGCACTCTAGGGAATGTGTGTGGTAGGCCACCTTAAGGGCGTTATGTCACGAGAATATAACTGTTTAAGGTCAATTCGGCGATAAAATTATTAGTTAGTGTCTTTACTCATAAACAAAATGCTCCTTTAGAATTATGAAGAAGATGTCGAACAAATTTCATCAGGGAACATAACCATGATAATTCGTATGGTGATTTTTGCAGGCATAGCACTGAAATCCTGAAAAAGTCGGCCCAACCGTGCCATACTGTAATAAGGGTGTGGCACCCAGGGAGTTGCCCTTTCCCTATCCAGTTTTTTGGCTTCGGTCGTCGACCACTTGATTTGCGTCGACGCATAGCAAGAGCAATGTGGATAAACATAGGCCTCAAAATAGTCGAGCGGCTCCTCTTTTCCTCACTGCATAAAGCGAAACCAAGAGAAGCATTGGTGGCGCAGTGGTGAGAGCACTCGCCTCCCACCAATGTGGCCCGGGTTGAAATCCTGGCGTCGATGCCATATGTGGGTTGAGTTTGTTGTTGGTTCTGTCCTTTGCTCCGAGAGGTTTTTCTCCAGGTAGTCCGGTTTTTCCCTCTCCTCAAAAACCAACATTTCCAAATTCCAATTCAACCAGGAATCAGCTAGACGAAGAACCACTAAGTGACAGTGCTACCTCTAAATCATTATTTACTTATTATATATTATTAGAACTAGATAACCTTACTTTGTAAAAGATTTTGGAAGAGAAAGGAGTATTATCTGCTCGCTTCTCGGCTTTTCGATTGATTCCTTTCTCTTTGATTAAAGCTTATAAGGAATGTCCGCCCGCAGGACTCTTAAAAAACGTCCAAGTGACCCCACATGAGCAAGACACACCCAAACAAAATCCAGATAAAACCCCTACAATCGCTTTATCCTATCGTAATGCCTCCCCAGCCTAGAAAATACGGCATTATTTCACGGGAGTTAATCCGAAAAGCTCGATACAAGCTTAAGTCAAGCTTGAGTTGCTTGAGTGATGTTTGTCATGTTAAGCTTTCGCTAAAAAGTGGCCGTTTCTGATTATTGGCCCTTTTAGTTTTTCAACTTAACTTTGTATCAAATTTCCAACTGCTACTCGTCTATACTATTTGAAACGACTTTCCGATTCAGTCAGTAAATCCCCTCAAAAAGGGCGGCTTGTCCGTCCAAAATATCGGGAAACCTCCAGTCACTTTTCTCTCTGCTATTTTGTTGTTAATGTCTATATTTTTGGCTCAATAGCTCCACTTTTAATAGCCTGTGACCAGGCTCTATAGTAAAAGGCAAAAAAAGGGGTGAAACAGCAAGAAAATCAGGCGCTCAAAAGGAACGGAAAGAGGATTTGGGGCGCGTGAGAGGCGCTCGAGAGCGCTCGAGAGGAAGGGCAGGTCTCGTGTCTAAATTCCCTTCCCTTCCCTTTCGAAGGGCAGGGAGCAAAGCGAGCTGAGCGGTGGACTGGAGCATACAAAGGTCTTCAGACTTCCTCTCGCCTCTTACCCCGCCAATCTCTCTGCGGGGCCTGGCCCGAAGCTACATTTCCCTTTATTACACAGGGGGGGGGGGGGGGGGG